TGTCCATACGGTACCTAGTTATGCTTCTGGGCCTGCTACCTCACTGCCACCATCATGCTAGTTTCTAGACTTGGGTCCCGATAATCTACATGATTCTGACCAATGCTGATGCCAAGCCAGCTTTGCTGTCACCGTCTCCCTTGGGTATGATGAAGCTGTAGGAAGGAATTATATCGTGTAGATCGATGTGTTGACAAACAAGTGTGTGCAGAATTTCAGGACATTTGCACTTGCCTTTTGTTTCTCCATTCACCCAATGTCATCGGATTCTTGGGCCAGTTTTAGATTTCAATTTTTTTCTATGCGCCATTTTGCCTTAGCTGGTTAATCGGTCAAAGAATCTCCGAACTTTCTTCGGATACCGGATCTGCCTTTGAAGATGCCAGATAAGGAAATACAATCAAACCGGGGCTGACATCACTCCTATCGAAGCCAGGCAGCGAAATAACTTTCTGCCGACACGTCCACTCAAGAAGTGTCATAGGAGAACTCATCTAATTCCGTCAAAAATTTCTTAAGACACTTGACAGCCGACGGAACCTAGTGATTTTGGAGACCTGCTGTGTTGGATCTGAACTCACCCCGCGCCGTCCATAAGAGCTGCCTGAGAAGAACCTGAAGGGCTACGGTCGCTATCTTGTCCAACACGCAAGATGTGGATGCTAATATAATGGATTCAGCTAACGCGGATAAACATAATACTGTTGATTTCGCCTTGGAACAAATACCGCTTCCGGTCGCCCGTGCGGAAGTGAAGCTTCAAGGCTCCCACCTTGGTAAGAAGACCTCAAAGCCATTCAGAGTGAAACGAGCCTCGGACATACAAATCGGTCCATTTTTCCCTGAAAACGTTCACTCCGGTGAATTGCGTCAACCCTCGTTTACATCGGGTCCTTTTTCGTACCTTATAGCATGAAATCGAAGTCGCAAGCTTCATTCCAATTTTTGGACAGGTAACATTTTTTAATCGAGCAACTTAACAAACACCCTTACACGCCCATTTTGGCAGCACTTCACTCCCCAACAGGCATCACGAATGATCTCACCTGGATTCACCGTTGCGTAGCGTGAGTATTTAGACGACACCCGTTTCCTTTTGCCTGCGCTCTCTACCTCCACGAGAATTCACCTGGAGAGCGCTCAGCACCCCAATATGCCCCGTGGTAAAAAGAACAAAGAAAATGAACAAATTAAAGAATGCTTGTCACCGCGCTGACAGGAGACTACAAGGGCATGCTGAAGCCTTCAGATTCCACAAACCTCCAAGGATAATTAGACTTTAAGGCCACGCAGAAAATGAAAACAATAGTCCAAAAGCAAAAACAATGCGCACATTACTTGGATGCATGTGGAGGGCACGTAGAACCAGGAAATACACATCTGCCCTGAATGTCGTACCGGTGGCTGTCCAAAAATCTACTGATTACTCTCTCCCTTATCTTTAGATCGGTGGTTTTCGCAGGCTTAGCCTGACTTACGCACGATACACCCGACACTCCCGAACACGACTGGACTCCGCCCTTAGTCCATTTCTTATCCAGTCTACTTCAACGGCCTTTTTGACAAGTTCTGAAGCGCCTGTACGCCCTTTGAAAGTACGTGAGTTCCTGGGGTTTCTGCTCTTGGGCTCTTATTGATATAGACGCCCCGAAGCAGTAGTTTATCAGACTAGCACCGGCGACTGAACAAATATTTGCCCATATATCTGAAGATATTGCGAGGCTGGATTCTGTAAAGGGCTTGAACAGTATTCTCATTCATTATAAACTCATCCAGAAAATCTGGTATACAGGAAGTTTGGTGTTTTTCAAATTACTCAGGATACGTGTTCTCTTGGAGTTCGAGACGACTCGAGGTAGATTAGCTCTTTGTGTGAGTACATCAACCAGTTATTCTGCCCAAGGCACAAGAAACCTTAATCTTCATGGATTACGTCCAACAGGATATCACAAACACGATTGTTAGCTACAAATCCATCAACGGTGAAAGGTTTTTCGGGTTACTCGACCTATTCCTCTGGGATGCTGTCACCTAAGAAGCATAATTTCACACATCTCGCCTGAACAAATTATGAAGTATGATTTTCAGCCTTCAACTTCATTGACACACGGTGGGTTCACTAGATAAAGGGATTCAAGTGGGAACACAACAGAAAATAACTTTTCTCATTTTGGGAAGTTGACGTTTGGAATATTTACTCCTCGCAACTCATTGCGACTGATCTCGAACTCGGGGCCTTAGAGGCATTTTTATTTCAATCCTGACGATGCACCGAAATCTCGGCTTAGTGTCACGCGCTTTTCGGCTAGTGACTTTTAAGTGAACCACAGGTCAACTATCAGCACTCTTTGATTTGGTCGCCATCAACGAAAGAATTTTGACGATCAGGTGATAATTAACGCTCTACTGGGACACAGCGACCACTGTGCGCTGGCCTTTGATCTCAACTGCTACTGAGCCAGAAATCAACGAAATTCAAACGTGAATTTGAAAATTCTGCCGTGCAGACTTTTCGGGACTGAGCATTTTTCTTGACCGGGTTAAACTGAGACCGGTTTCAGTGGAAGACCTACAGGAGAATATTGCCCAGAAAGTTCACGAGATTGACGCGGTGTTTGTCCCAAAGAAGCCAGCACGCAGTCGAATGACCTGCACGCCACTTTAGACGGTTCGGAATCTTCTGGAAAAGAGGTCTCAACTATTTTTCAAAAAGTTGATTACTGCAGACACCGAATACGATGTGGCATTTCGTAAAATGCGGTACCACTGTAAGTCAGAAATGTGCCAATGGAGCATACTAATACAAGCGACCATTCTGCATCCCGTCCAGATAAACAGAAATGTGCTGTTAAACTACGTGCGACATCGCTGCGGAGACAAGCCATCCACGTTCTCCCAGAAGGACAGGAACGAAGAACTCACGAGTGACACAACAGTGGTATCTGAGGTTTACAGAGAACAATATGTAGGCCCACATTTGTCTTCAGCGTCCTCTCCACATCCGATTTCGTCAGGGTGTAACTTCCAACGGCCTCTTACTCACTTGGTCTTCACAGGGGAGGACACTGGTCGGCTTTTGCTCGAGATCACTGTGTTCTGAACATTGGGGTCAATTGAGGTAAATTAGAGGGTCCTGAAGGAAACACCTCTCTCACCAGCAAAATATTTCTGCTTAGTATTTCGTCGGTCGCTTGACAAATGTCACCTTCCCTCTGCTTGAAGGGAGGCGAATTTCATCCGATCTACAAAATTGGTGAACTACCATCGCATGGAGCGAGGTCTATAGGCCTCCCTCCGTGAGAAATGACGGAACGCATTCCGAAGCATGCTATCCTAGATCACTTTACTACCAATAGCTTGAAATCTCCAGATCAACAGGGATTTCTCCAAAACCGTTCTTGCGTGACAAACATGCTCGTGTCTACGGACAGCCTAACCCAAGCCAAGGACGAAGGGCTCATATCGGATACCACTTTTCGACTTCTCAAAAGCATTTGATAGGGTCCCACACGTCCTGCTGCTCCACACACTAGAATCTTATGGGATTCAAAAGAAAACCCTCCTCTGAATCGAGGCGTTCCTATCAGACAGATCATTCCGAGTGAGAATTGGCTCGACCTACTCTTCTCTAGCGCCGGTCTCCATTGGAGTTCCTCAAGGCTTCGTCTTGGGACCACTCCTGTTTCTGATCTACGTCAACGACCTCCTAGACCTTCTTGCAAGTCGATGTGTACTTTTTGCGGACGACTTGAAATCCTGGAGTTCCAATGCCAATGCCCTCAAAATGGATGTAGGCGCTGTTAAGCAGTGGTCGTTGGGTTGGCACCTACCTCTGAATGACGAAGAGTGCGTCCATATGTCGTTTGGAGGAGAATGCCTTTGTTATGCATGTTTAGAAAGGACCAGAAAACATCATGATGAGAGACGCCAAAAAGGGTTTGGGCATCTGGGTCTTCTCAAACTTGTCCTTCTCACCGCACAATGAGAAATCGGTCCCAAAGGCATCAGACATCTTACGGATGATTCGGCGAACTCTTTCTCGCATTACTCGCATGGACCTCCAAATACTATATGGGGTCTACGCCAGACCGCTCCTCGAAAATGCCACCCAATTTGTCTACCGAGGAGGCAAGGAATACGTAACACTCATTGGGCTGGCCTTCGAAACATGTCTCGCGATGCTGGACCTCTTTCCCCTGGAGTGTCGCCGCCGCCAAAGTGACCCAATTCTTATATAAGTTCTGGTTGAGCAGGAGTTGGCCAACAGATTTTTCACCGTTCACCCAGCAAACGCACGGCGGTGACATGGTAAGATTTTCAAGCTCAGAGAGCATGACTTCATTAGGCAAAATATTTTCTAATTTGGGGTAGTAGCTGCGTGGAATAACCTTCTTAATACGTCAGCCCATGCTCCATCTAGAACCCGGTTCAAACCACTATTTGACACTTATCTATGCTAATCCTGGAGCTTGTAAGCATAGTGCCCCACGCTGAGAACATAAACAGGGATGCTAAACCCTTTTTCATTTGTGCCGCCGAACGATCAGAACAAAACCGACCTTGGAAACTCGGGCAAAATCCTCGGCGAAGTTCTCTCCTGGAGCACGCCAACCAAATGTTCTACTCAGGACGCACGAAAGACGTCACCCTCATTGGGCGTGTCCAGCGGGCCGCCACGAGAATGGTTGCCGGCCTCAAATCCGGGGACTACGAAACGCGTCTCGCGATGCGTGATCTCTTTCCCCTGGAGTACCGCCGCCTCCGAGGGGACCTAATTCTTACTTATGCTTCGTTTGAACAAAGCTTGGCAAACAGGTTTTTACCGTTGACCCGGCCAACACCCGGCGGGGACATAGTAAGAAATTTTCAAGCTCAGAGCACGCACATTCATTAGACAAAATTTTTTCATTTCGGGTAGTAGCTGCGTGGAATGACCTTCTTCCGACGGTTGTACACGCTCCTCCTCGAACCCAATTTAAAGCACTATTAGACATTTATTTATGCGAATCCTCGCACTGGCGAGCATACTGCCCCGCGCTGAGAACATAAAGAGCAGTGCTACACCCTTTTTTCACTTGTACTTTTGAGGTGAAGAACAGCCATTGACCTACAAGAACAAAACCGACCCGGAAAACTTGGGCAAAAGCCTCGCTCCTGTTTATCAACCCGTGAATCCATGAATCTGTGACTAACTGCGAATCCGTGAATTTGATGCTCGGTTATCTGAGAAGTCACTTGGTTAGACAAGGCGCTTTCAACACTATATTACTGCTATGCACCATCATGTTACACTTCCTATGTAAAAGATTCTTACCACCGAAGTTATCACAGTTCCAGACATATTAACCGTGCGCTCTCGTGATGGTCTAGACAGTGCTCGTTTTAATTATTCGGCTTGCGTTTGGCGCGCTTCGTTCGCTTCTTGCTTTTTCGCTATCCAGGATGACAAAAGAAAAAGCTGGTTTCCTCACCCCAAAAGCTATATCAAATCGGATTAAGGCCAAGGGCCTTCAGAAATTGAGATGGTATTGCCAAATGTGCCAGAAACAATGTCGGGATGAGGTAATTTGTTACGCAACTAACTTATTGTGTCCTCAGAATGGCTACAAGTGTCACACAATGTCGGAGTCCCATCATCGACAGATGAAGCTCTTCGCGGAGAATGGGGGGAAGTTCATCAGCAGCTTTTCCTCCGAGTTTCTGAAGGGATATCTGGATATCGTGAGACGGCAATTTGGCGGCCAGCGGGTCCATGCGAATGTTGTTTATCAGGAGTATATCAAAGATAAGGAACACATACACATGAATGCCACCCGCTGGCACACACTGACTGGTCTGTGTATGTGGTTAGGAAAGCAAGGAATTTGCAAAGTTGATGAAACAGAAAAAGGATGGTTCATCGAGTATATCGATCGTGATCCCGAAAAACTGAAGCGTCAGGAGGCCAGTGAGCGCCTTGAAAAAACGGAGGATGAGATCAATAGACACTTTCTGGGTAAGTAGTTTCATTCATGGTTCACTTTCGCTTCAGAAAAACAAATTGAATATAATTTGTCAAAGACTGAACCAACCGAGGGCCCTAGTTATACCCCTTTGGTGAGACCAGATGACACGCCTATCCGACTCAACCTTTCGTTGAAAACCAAAAGCTCAGAAACAACGGACAACACAGATCCCATCCAAGACTGTGAAGTTCCAGAGGTCGTCGAACAAGAAAAGCCAACGAACACGAAATTCATCACTTTCGGTCCTAAAAAGGCCAAACCTATGGTGAGCTTTATTTGCTGTGTTGATTTCATTTTCCTTCTGAAGTGGATTGTGCGAGTTCTCAGTCTTCAGCTGCGGCGCCAAGGTGCTTTATTGATGAAGTACAGCTCTACGTACTGAGTTTCATCTTATACTCAACCTCACCCATCTTTCCCTGTAAAATCCTCAGAACCCCTTGTTGGCAGCAGAGCAGAAAGCAAAAGAACAGCGCTCAAAGAGTAATCCGGCGAAGCCAAATGTGGCCGAGCGTCCTCAGAGTACGACCGGCTGCCGACGGAAGGCTTTAGATGACTTAATGGAGAAGGAAGAAGCACTAAAGGACAAGCGAAATCGACGAGATTACTGGCTAACTGAGGGCATCGAAGTCAAATTAATTAACCGAAAACTGCCCGAGGATGTTCGCTTACGGCATGCTGCGGTCGTGAAAATGCTGGACAATTACACGGTATGAACATAATTTCACTACTTTTATCCTTTAGCTGGTTTTTGATGTTGGGTGTTATACCCGGACCCCCTCCAGATGATTCACGTAAGCTGTTGCCACTATCACATGCTTCCTGTTTCAGGCCGGCATGATGCATCCGTCTACAAGGGCTCCAGAAGATAGGCCAGAGAGAAATTGTACATCTAAGTCACTTTCAGGGGCAGTACGTGATCCAAATTCAGCTCAGTAGATGATAGGTTGTACAGTTTTGTTGATCTTCGGGGAACGCTTTTCCACAAAAACTGCACGGTGGTGTAGAATATTGAGCTCCATATTTTTCTCCTGCCTCATCATTCCCGATGCGATTCAGTTCACTCCTTTTTCAACAGGTTTATTGTGTTTGCTATGCTGTGATTTCCTCGAAACGATATCTCTATGTCTCTTGTTGACCGGAGTAAATGGGGCTAATTGGGTGACTGGTCGACAAGATTCCGTAGTACCTTAGTGAGTCGCAACTTGTGATCGAGGTACTAAAGGCTTTAAGCCGCATTTGGTTGCATTGCGGTTGATGGGCTGTTAGCGTAGATGTCCTGGCCTTGCGCCGGTATGTGTTTAAGAGGTGCTGGGACATTTTGACTGCTGATGCTGTCCTGGAATACCTCTACGAATACAAGCCAGTACCTTGCTACCTTATCGCACTGGGATACATTGGTTGCAATTTCCTCTTTAAGTTGCAGGCATGCCAGAAACTTCGGGAGAATAGTCGGGCTGCAAGTAGCCCTTTTACATGCTTCGACGTGGCTGATCCATCATGGTTGAAAGTGCGGGATGTTCACTTCGACTGACTTGCTGGCTGCACGGCTAAGCGTACGGCAGTGAAGCATCGGTGTTGAACACTGATGTCATGCTGTCGATGATGATGACGACCAAGCGCGTCTTGTGACCATGTTACGAATTCGTCGATGCCGTCCGAAACTAGGAACGCTTCTAAAATATATCGGCGTTTACCACACTGAAGACGCCTTAGATCGTCTGCCTGCAGGGACAATACTTCTGGGCTGTACAACGCAGCCCTTAATGTAGTGTGGTGCACACAACTTCAGACCGCGGGCAAACCTGACCCGCCCCTTCGGGATTAGTGTACTCCATCAGGCATGTATAACTATATGGGTATGTAGGACTCACCACAATCCCGTGTGTTTCCTGTAATTGCAAAGAGCATGTTTGAAGCGCAGCTTTGAAACTTGCAAGTGCGACATATACCCAACGGTTGCACTACGGTGGTCAGCGCTTGTGCTTTGTCTTGGTTGTCAGAGATCAGGATGATGTCGTCTGCGTACTCCGGATCGACAGGTCCTCACCAGCAGCGATTTGAGCATCCGGGTTTTGAAGACCCTCCAGCATTCATCTTTACTTCGTTGGTGACGAAGTTGAATAAAGGTGGAGAGCTTTGGTATATTTGCCGGACCTCATATACGGGAAGCCATTGGAAGGATCCTTATATACCCTTCAACTATGTGGACATCCGATTATGTCCACGAGTTTTTTTGACGGATCCACAATCGAAGAAACCTTTGAAGTCGGGGAACATCAGGATTTTGGATTGTCCGTACGCATGGCACTGCTCTAACCCGACGGAGTGGGAAGATATGTTCCATGCATCCCTTATTCGATCCCAATCCGATTGGCTCTCACTGATCAAGGTTTCGTGTGCTGCTTCAAGGTGGCGAATAATTAGTGATACCTGAAGCGTTGCTACACTGGCAGGCACAGTGAGACCTCTGCCTACTATACTCGAAGGGAGCTTTGTTATCGACTCCCTCCAATTGTCTGGGACGGTTTGATTCTTTACTAGACGTAAGTTGGTTAGGCAGACACTCAATAAGGACTTCAACACCGCTTTTTATCAGAGCAGGCCGAATTTCGTCGGAGCCAAATGCTCCGTGACGCCTAAGTAGGGATATGCATTCGAACACAGGTTGAATAAGATTCCATGTCCACAATGCTTGCCTCTTTCAAAGGCCGATATTTTGTATCAGAAGCAACACGTGGCCAACTGCGTTTGCTTGGCGTGTCCTGCCGAGCGGTTTAAACGGATATCAGAGCCGCTGTGGTTCATGATGGTTTCGGCGACAACAAACTTCCAAGCTCCCGTCGTACTGACCAAGTGGAAGGACCTGCATATATCTGCTGCACCTTTTGCTTCCAATTTTCGACTCGGATGCACTCAGTATCCCGGTCTGTGCGGACACAGTCTTCGCTTGCTTCTGGTAAAATGTCGAGAGATTGTGGTTGCGACTGAAGAGTACTTGTTGGATAACCTGCAAAATTGCAATCCTATCGAAGATCCAATATCTGGAGAAAGTTGGCGGGGTCGTACCCCAGATGGAAGTTTCTGCACAATGTACAGCTCTGACTATTCCTTTCTAGTGATTGTCAACATCCGACGTCAGACCAGCAGGTGGTCATTGGAGTCGGTTCTGTTTGATTTCTAGGTCAACGAGTTTCCCGGCGGTTAAGCGATGCTTGCGCTAATTTGGAGAGCGCAAACGTATATTGCTTGTATCAGCATACGACTCGACGGACTGCAATTATGAAAATTAGGGTGTTTTTTTCATCAAGACCTGCCACGGCCGATTCCGCTGGCAAGAAGGGCCGATATGGTCATCCTGGTGGGCGATATGAACGTCCAAGGTGGACGACAGCCTAGATTCCGAGTCGATGCTGGGTGTACGGATAGTGGAGAGCCGGTCCTTAGTTATCTTTCTGGTGATTGTATGGGCTGAGCTATAATTTTGCCCTCTTCGTGCTGAAGCAGCGTAATTTCGTTCACCGGATTCAAAAGGTATCGCTACCCTAATATCGAGTTTATTAGACTGCAAAGCTGTTCGCGACGCACAGTCACACCGACAGTGATTGGCCTTAGGATGAATGTGGAGTTTGAGAAGCCGTGCTGTTAGAATTTAGAGCTCCGTCCAGGCCATCCGACTGGATCAGATGAACATCAAATATCGTCGAGATGTCGTCGCTGGGCAAGCCATATGAGCATCTAGCGACCACGGTGCAGCACGCCATCGTCATCATTGACATCGCTTAATTGAATAGTGGCGGGGGGGGCGGGGAAAAAGAAGATTTGCNCACGCCATCGTCATCATTGACATCGCTTAATTGAATAGTGGCGGGTTCAGCAGATAAAGAGATCCTTTGCTGCAAGCCGGAGCCGCGCATTCAGTTGATTTTTAACCAGCTTAAAGAAGACTGGCCAGGAATATGGTTTGCGAAAAGGATAAGGCGGTAATAAATTGGCAGAAGCGTCGTCTTAAGCGATAGGCTGAATACTAAAGAATATTTCTACTGGTCTCCATCAACACAACCTCTAACAGATTCTAATGAACTTGAATGGAACGTCGACTTCAGCCCGCCATCAACAATAAAAAATCCATGCGCGAGTTCAACCTTATAACATGACGAAACGTCAAACCGGGTGCGCCTATTTTTCAAAGGCAAAAAAGTGTTGATGAACAGTCTGATGACCCTGCTGCGAAAGATTTTAAAACGAGAGTAGAATATCGGTGGGTGGACGGTTTGAACTGTGGTCCGAATTCTCGCCAAGGACCCCAGGACATTACAACAAAGCCATGGCTGCACCAGCCTGCTAGCCGTGGCACCCAAGGTGCCCTCTTGCGTTATATTACGAATGTTGATCGATGCTGTTGGGAGACAAACTCTTGATCATTAAGTTGGGTTTCGTCCTGGTTGATAATGGATCGATTGTATCTTTATCCAAGTTCTTGAACTGCACCACTGATCCAAACATCCGATTATGTTTTTCTCCATCTGAAGTGGATCCTCGGAAACTTTGGTGGTTCCTTCCAGATTTCTGTTACTTTTGAGGGCACTGTACGCGAACTCTCCTGGGCGCATATTGGCATACAGCATGTTTTCTTTTGAGTTCGCCACGCTCATTGGTGTAAGACTAGAATGTCTCCATCATTCTCCAACTTTTGTATTGACGTGTTGCTTGAAACTTCTGTGCCTGGAACCCCGGGGTGGAAGTGTCTTCGTGCATTCGCTCATACGTACGATATTGCTCCCTGGTTCATGTCCTTCAAAGATGCAAACCTTTTTAATTACAAAATAATTCTGCCGCACGATTTGGTAGGTACTTCACACCTATTAGCTGTAAGTGCTGCATCAAAGCTGGGTGTAATCATACATGCAGACGTAGTAGATGAGTTTATTTACATCAACAGTTGTATAAGCTAAACTCATTCTTTACGTACGCGTGAGTCCACCCGGCAGCGTTAGCGTAAATGCAACAGCTGGTGGAGGACACTGCGCGAACGCCGAAAACGAGTAAAACAATGAATATTTGATTCATGCCTAATGATAAGGGCCTGGGTAGAGCAACGCATCTGTTTTCGTCATGTGATGCGTTGCTGGTCTCATATTTGTGGGCATGCGCTAGCACTGCTAAGACCCCGTTTCCCCTGCTTCATCCCCAGTTCATACATTGTCTGCCTCATAGTCGGAATCCACCTCATTCGACAGGGCATGGCGTGCGGTTGTCCCCTTGCCTTACGAAACACATGACCGGATTAGTGTTGTTACTGCAGCCCACTCAGGTCATGCAGTTGATTTGTGGCCAAACTCCATTCGTCGCACTTCGGCACTGCTAACCCGGTCTTTCTAAGATACGTGCAGTGTTTCAAATACACCCTGAAGTGAAGTATAGACAGTCTGCTGTTTCACACAGAGGCGAAAATTCAGTCTTAAGGTAATGCTGGGCACATTGCTGCGTTGTAGGTTGTCGCTCACTGACGAGCCATCACACGGACCCTGGAGGTGTCTACTCCTGAAGAAGACAGACGTCGCAACTCCACCGCTGCTATCTGTCGTTCAACTAAGTATTTTGTCCGATGTGTGGTTCCGATGCCACAAACAGGTTTGTTGTGCACTTCTGACCTCGCGTTGGCACTTTTACATTAACAGTACATGTTTAGTCGTGTGGATTAGAGAGGACACGGATGAACTGCCAACCAAATGGTACTTTTGCATAAAGCCTGATGCAACCTGCCTGTGCAACCCGCCTTCTAAGATGGGATCGCGTAATCCGCCCTGTTCATGGTACGGCCGGGTATAGATGCTGCAGAATCGTTCTTATTTTCCGAAACGGAAGGTAAGTGGTTGAAATCAACCACTAGATTCTGTATTGATGCTGTCGACGTACGTTGCTTATCATTTTCTCGACTTTCATGCGTTCCACAGTTTTTACGACATTACTGTCGGTCGGACCATTTGACGTTATCTTTTCCTGATCTCTCAGAGGTATGGAGCACTTTCACTGTTGCAGCTCGCGTAGTGTCGTTCGCGGCTCCGGATTCAATCCAACAGCGGTATTGCTTGTTCCTTGAATGGGAACATCTGGTTGTCATACGTCATGATTAGGATGTAGCATTTGTCATTTCGCTGCGTCCCTGTATGAAGGCTATCCCTTCAACGGTGCCTACTTCTTTCCTCCTGTTTTCTGCGCGAGTCTGATCAGTCTTTAAATCGTAGTGTTGATCCACTTTATACGATAATGTCTCCATTGGTTGCTGCCTTCAAACATGGATGTTCCTTACTCTCCACAATTGATGGCACATTTACTACTGCACCATCGGTGTATGATTTTCTTCCAGCAGACAGGTGCGCGGGTCAGCTACTGTACGACAATGAACGAGCCCTTATGTGCTTTCATTTCGCATTCTACCGTATTGCTGTGGGTATCGAGCTGTAAACATACAAGTCGTACATCTACAACGAGACGATGCTTAGTTTACTTTTTCTCAACAAGACGCTCCATCGCATGGACTCCAAACTTGTTTAAGTAATTCGGATGTGCAAAGGATTTGAATATGCAATAAAATACACTCATACCAACTACTCTGGCGTGAGCAGGAGACTACTGAATCGTTTAAGATGAGCGATATGTGAAGTCAAGGGAGTGTACTTCGATACCTGGAATATTATGCCAAATGAAACATGAAGCCGACCCTTGTGCAACACACTCAGCGAAGGCTTATCCCAAGCTCAGCGATGATAGTTGTGACGATGAAGACAGATCTGTTCCGATACCCAGTCTCCTTTGCTGCAGCCGAACGAATTTTGGGTAAGCAAAGTCTTCATGACTAGCTGGGGTGAAAATTCTCAGCTTTCCCGTGTGTAACTTGCATGCAACCCAAAATGAAAAAGGTCCCAGCTGTAGCAATCCTTCGGTATCTAACTATTTCTTCGATCGAGAACTGTTACGGCCTACCATGCAGTCGTCAAAAGGAGTAAAAACAGTTTTAACGCAAGCTTCACTACCGTACAGAATTTTTGCTTCATAAAACCCTAAAGTGAAACGAAAGTGTATGGTGATGCCTAATGACAAATTGTGCATATCGGGTAATCTTATCGTGCAGTGCAACACAGAGACAATCACGAGAACCCCGAAAGCACTACAACTTTCTGTATACGATAGTGCTGTTAAGCCGCAGGTAAATTAACTCACATCCAAGGAACTATCGTCATCGAGCTTACGGTTTTTTCTAGTCTGTCAGCCGACATAGCCATGTCTGGTCATGGTACACCATACTCTTGCAATGGATTTTCGGCGGCGAATCGTAGAAACGACTTTCTGATGAAAACCTTAGCCATCAGGGGATCGTTTTTGTCTATAAGGAGGAAAAGAAGTTAAAAGTGCTCCCATAAAGTGTAAGTTCGTGCTCCTGGATATGCACCTTTTGAGCACATCCTGGGGAGTTACTCGATGTCGTAGAACATTTTTACATGTTTTTTGAGCTGTGTAAGTCTCGATTCTAGTGTAACAGCCGTGTTCAGTGCACGAATCTGAGGCTTCGGTCGCGTTTCTTGATTTGAGACGGCTGTAGGTCCGTGAGACGTATCTCAAGGGATGTGTGCACCCGGCTACAGTACTGGCGATTTTGCTGTGTGGCTGTCACCTCTGCGTCCAGCTGAACTGGTGACTTTGATAACCTTTATTATGGGTTGATGCAAACATCCACAGTGGGACAGAAAGAAGTGACTGCTTGGTTGTGCAATAGAGACTTCGATCGAGGAATGTGTCCAGCACCACACGCTGCGACGGTTTTGCCATGCATCGCGACTGCCGATTCATCCTCAACCGAAGAGAACCAGGTTTTCTTGCCCACTTCAGAGTGGCGCAGAGACTTGGCCAAACCGGTGGAGAGGTATGAATGAAGTGAAAAGTCTGGGTACTAGGGTAGGGTCCGCATGATCTCTTCTGTGCATGACTGGAGATCCGATTGCACGGGTTTGCTGGGGCCGCCAGCAAGATGCTAGATGCTTTTGGGAGTCCATTCTCCGTTCCTATATCAACTGGTTAGACCGTGTATTTCGTATGCCAGAGGACCGTTTGCCTCATAGAGCCCTCTACCCAGCCTTGTACCCCATTCAGGTGACCCAGGAACGACCAATCCATGACTTGGCAACGAAGCGTTAAGCCGTTATCATCCAACGCAGTTGCGTTGGAATCTACTGTGTGCGGGACGGTTATTACTTGTTGACCATGACAGATATGGATGTGTCACGCAGCCAATGACAGTTTTTTCTCAAATCTACCGCCTTCACTGCGTTGCTTTCAATCCATGCCACACCTGACAGTCGGGATCATTCGAAATCAATGAACTGATTAGGCCGTCGCTACGGCTATCATTTCCTCATCCTCTTCATCCTCGGTGAACGAAGGTATGAAGCTAAAACCGCTGCACTTGGTTGCACGATTTGTGACTTTAGAAACCGAACTAATGTGAATGATGGTTGGAGATGCTGGAAGATATGACTTCCAGTCGGTGCCAGTAACCGTCTGCCTGAGTTGTGAGTGTAAGCAGATTTTTAAGCGGTAGGGATGGGGGACAGTACCATCCCGTATCTGATGCACATTTAGAGCCTACACATTCGCACTGGCATGACCTGGCCTATCTTCCAGCAAGACTCTGAGTGCTGCCTCCTCACGCTGAGCTCTGGCTAGTGGCCCTGTTTACCCAAACAACCTACACAGTGCCCACTACGCTTGTTAAGTTCAGGGTCACACTTGTTTGTCAGACCCCAATCTTTGAATCATCTCGGAGTACAAAATGCCTAGTGAGTGCTAATTTCTGATATTTTGAGCCATTGCGTAGAATCATAATGTCCTGGATTGGGTGTTTCCACACAGAAGCTCTAGTTCAGTCCGGCACGCCAGCCTCAACGGCTTGGGCGTCGCTCACAACGGTGTTTTTGTGCGCTATTCTAATGTCGCTTTAAAAATCAGTTGCTAGTAGTCGTGAATCGGCTCATGCCAGGACATACGTCTTTGTGTGTCTACTATACTCGATTTGCTTCTAGGTCGAAGGTTGTGGTCTTTACCGATGTTTTGGTAGGCTTTACTATTGCCTCGGACCGTTTGGTTATTCGCTCGGTTACCGCTGGCCTTTCGCAACGAGGCCAACCAGCAAGGTGTGTAAATTACCACGAATTTGGTAATTTTACTGTACCTGAAATCGTTGTTTCCGTACTTTTTGCTTCCAGGCCATCGTGCGTGTACTCCGAGATGGCACCAAGATAAAAGTGGACCAAGAACATGTTCAAACAGTGGTTCCTCCGCCTTCATCTACAGTGATGGTCGTGAATGGAGCATACCGCGGAGAATATGCGACCCTTGAGCAAGTGGATAAAGATGCTGGCTGCTGTGATCTCACCATTGCTACGGTAAATATTATCTTAGCATCGTTCTGCTGATTAGCCGAATCCTTACCTAGTTTGTGAAAAGTCCCTATGCGGACGACTCTCCTTGATCTGGCCCTGAGCCAGCGAGTTGATGTTCTTGTGTATGTTCACTAAGTTCGACCTTCACTGCTGTTTACCCACTCATGGGATAAAGGGGTGTTTCTTCTGGGGGACACTAGTGGTTCACTGAAGCAGCCGGACGGTCCGGACCAGCTATTTCAAATGAGGCAAGGCACGCGAAGCGCTGAGAAAAACCTTGTTTGTCGTTAAGTCTATCGACTCTTCATCTCAGATTCGGAACGACACAGTCATCGAGAGGAGTGGAATTATGTGGTTACTAAGTTGAAGGGCAAGGAACTCAAATTACGGTACGATGTACGTGGATGTGACAATATCGATGAGTTCTCGGAACAACAGTTTTATTCTGCTGTTACTGTATATTTGGCTGATACTTTGTGTCGCGCCGGATAAAAACACGGGCGTTGTGAAGGTCTTGAGATTCTTGGCTCCCTTCTGCGTAAATGAAAAACGGTTACTCTTTTATTCGCCATAAACAGTAGCTTCTTTTTATAGCTTTTGATTATTAGTTGCCACACGTAAAATACCCACAGCCTCATTTTGCCCTACCGCATTTTCTTTCAGGGCCTTTGTATGGGTCGATATATCCGAAAAGTTTCCTTGGACGATGTGTGCAAACTAGTGGAAGTGCAACGATGAAAAATCGTGATTCAGTTTACGTCACTATGTACATTTCTCTCAGCATGTGCTCACTTGTACAAACGTTTGAAAAAAAAAATTAGAAAGTTATATAAGTTTTCTCAGGAATTCACTCCAACCGGACGATTTTTGAAGATGGCGGTGTAAGATTAAAGATCTCCATTAGCAACGGGTCGACTTTGGTTGGATCCAACTGCATCAACATGTGACCGTAATTGATTGTTAACGCCTCAAGTTGGTTCAGGTTGGCTAGAACGGAGGCCAACATAGCGCGACCTCCCGCGAAGCCCACCTTGGCCTCTAGGTAATGCTTCAGCAACAGGTAGTACCGGTCGTGGACGTTGGCAACCTGTGGTGGTAAAGCGCGGAGATCACAGCGATGAGTTCAGTAATGATCCTGTTGGAGATATTCTAATAATGAAAACGTAAAATGGTAACACTGTGCTAACGTAGCTAAATCCTTGTGCATTTACACTCAGCAAGTTGGCAGCTATATGCTGCATGCTAAGGCACCGCTCGGCGGACCCATTTTGTCAAACAAACAATCAGTGTGAATCTGCCGATCTTCCCCGATTTATGACAGAGGGGGCAGCAATGCAGAGTTCATCGTATACGGTGGTTTCCTGACTGACAACGAATCGGAAGCCAAGAAAAGGAAATCTAAAAATTGTGCGATATGATTCAATCTGTTCGGCAAGTCGAACAAAAACGTTCACATCTTTGAGTTCGGTTCCCGAGCAGCTATATAGAGGCCCACAGGTTTCCTATGCGTCATAGCTGGACTATCGTTATCAACTTCAGTGAGCCAACGAAACGTAGTCTATTCTTGGAGAGTTTGTGATTAAGGTACGCTTCACAGGACCAGCGATCAGTGTTCTAACACCGGGGCAACCCCCTAACAAAATAATACGAAAGTTGGGTTCCACAGCTAATGTTGTGTCGAAGAAAGGACTTACCGTCTGGCGAGCATCCAGCGAAGGTCTGTCAGGTGTGAATAGGCACAATGCCTGCATCAAAGATACCAAGTTTGGGTCCTGTGCCACAAGTGCGTTGAAATTTCTGCGTGGTAGGTTACACGAGACAAGACAATCTGTGCTGATAGGTGAACAGGTTCGGGTGATGCGCAGATAAGTGACAACTGTTTTGGTAGGAGTAAACCGACACGACAGGCGATATTGAAACAGGAGCAGTGTTAAGTTTAGTTGGACACCGGGTGCTGTCTACATGAGGCGCTCTCATGGGCATGATGTCATTTTCTGGGAGAAATGCACCAGCAAAATATTGGTTGCGTCGAGCGCCAAAATGTGCTCCATGAGCCTGTAAGGCTACAGGAATAGAGGGTATTTATTGGAACCAGGCATGTTGTGGGTCCTTCCGCTCGTTCCGAAACAACTGCTAAGAAACAATCCCGATCTGCCCTTACGAAATAACCGTTTGTCTATCCTGATCCATCACCGTCTGCAAGTGTGAGCACACGAACCTAAGAGCAGCAGAAAAGCAGCTGACTCTGGGTGGTAGAGCATCTTCCTACCCAGTTAATACACCAACTGAGGACGTCGATTACCAATCATTTAGTCGGGAACCTGAATGACATGGATGCTTATCAGAGGATTGCTGTTTTGTGCCTGAGCCCGATGCATCCGCTTTATTGGCCATATTTTAGTGGAACCGAGGGTTGAGTATGATATGCGCAACTACAATCTCAACATCAGTTGGTCCATGAAGTTGGGACTGATGCAGCCCAGTCTTCTAGCACTTTCTTCAGCTGTGCCTCGCATGTCAAACCACGTGAAATTTGTATTTTGGAAGGATCCGGTTCAGGACAAGCGGCTTCATCGGCGCGTTCATTGTGTATGAAAGGTTAAATAGATATAAGCAGCAAAAGAATACCTATGATATTTTACACTTTGAGTATCAGTGCAGTGACAGTTTTTCGGCTAACAGCTGATCTAGGTAAGTTTAAAGCGAATTATTCGTTCACTGACAACTAAATTCTTCCGGGTTTTTAGGAACCGGAAGTCCCATCAGAAGCGCAGTTGAATTGAGTGTTGATCGCGAATGGGGCGGCGTAACCCAAAATAATCAGGTCGAAAAAAGATTTCTTCCTGATTGACTTCTGCTTGCCGAATGAATCGTAAGGTTTTTACGGCCTACTCAGATAACAGTTGGCTTTTCTCGGACAGTTTGGACAGTGAGCACCCATACTACTGGTACGCGTTGATTTGCGAACCAACCTCTCCCGTTTGGAGCGTTTTCTGTAGGCAAGAATTCGGTAAGACTGAAATAGGCCGTTCTCGCGTGTGTTGCTTTCTCTTATGTGGTGAGTCGCTGTAAGTGTTTATGGTTCACTTCAGTGGCAGCGATAGGCGTCTGTGCACAGTTAGTAAACCATAAGCGGTTTGTTGTGCAACGTGCAAGCCGCTGACCTAAATCAAATGGGTAGGGTCAGTAGGTGAACACACAGAGACCGATCGGAAGCCATCATTTGGCACCAATTCTGGTCTGCAGTGTGCTCCATATTGTTACGTTAGCTAAAAACATTGTCGTTTTAGCTGAGAACGTTTGGAGCATCCGTGCCTTCGGAGCGTCACCCTAGCTTGATGACATTGGGTAAATTTGAAGTATGCAGATTGGAAACAATAAATAGCAGATGATACGTGAATCTGATGGTATTCGATTGTCTGGTTACGGTTCACATATCAGTGGTTCAACTTTCTAGAAAAGTATCTAGATGGGGACATCCATGGTTGGAGACACTAACGGACGTCGCTCAGTCATGCGCTAAGCGGTGCGCATTTGTTCAAGCTATTGCCTGCAATACACAACCCGCTCTCTGGGACTCCCCGCCAATCAATAGTTCCCCCGAATTCATCTGCTGCCTTCCATCACTTTTAGATCACCGGTGAAGGAAATTGTGACAGCTCGAGCCACCATAAAATTTGTGCATGGTTTACAGATGTTGATGATCTGGGGAGCTGGAACTTGATCCGTAGTTGATTCGCGCTGAAGTTGTCTGAATTCAGACACGCCTTTAAATATCGAACGGATAGCGCGCGATCACTCACCTTAAACAGCGGGACCAAAATCGCCATCCCATTAAGAGCTTACCTGCAGTATTTAGTGTGCTCTTCATAGAACTTGTCCATTCCGGTCGCGACTTTCAAAATTTGTGTGGGAACTTCACCTTTTGGTGTCAACCACACATCCTTTTCCACATCATAGTGCCGCGCAGAAAGAAGAAACAAAGTGCTCAAGACGACTCCCTTCAGTAGACTGATCTGACTATCCTGGAATGAAAAGAGAATTTGGCGAACTCGTCTAGGTGGTTAGAGGAGGAAATTCACGCCGATTTCGGTTAAGTCCATATGCATTATTCACAGTGACTAAGACCTACTATGCACAAAAGGTACGATTCGAACGGTGACCCGTAAAGCAGCGCCTCAGTAAATTTGGTTGTAGAAAAAACAAACTGATGCGAACAGTTATAAAGCCAAACAGCTCTCCTAGTCTAGAACCATTAATCCATCCAGCTATCGACTGGCTGCATTTTTAAAATCAGCAGGCGGCGTGAGTCAGATGTGAGCTTGACTTCATCAGGTGCATCAAACCATGGGTTGTTTACTAAGAACTTTGCAAGTGCGTCCTGGTAACGCACTGACAAGGGTCCTGGCAGTGCTTGATCAATTGGTATACATCAATTGACCACCTTACGAGATTTGTGTGCGACTCAGCAGGGGCGAGACGGCCCACGTGGTAAGAGCGCGAATTTACTGACCGGAAGGTCCGTGGTTCGAATCCCACCTCGACTTCCCCTGTCTAGGCTTGGGCAATCTGGCAGTATCCCAGCCCTCGTGCTTCCTTCGGGTGGCATGGCAGCTAGGCACCGGAAGAGTGCTACATCTGAACGGTTTTTTTTCAGCAGAGATGGACTGACGTTGCTAGGCTAACCTGCCCGCTACAAAGCGACGAAGCAACACTCGAACCTGTCGTCCTTACACGATTTACTCAGATTCAACAGATATTAGCTCATCATAGGTTTTATGGAAGGGATGGGATCATTAGTTTTGACCCAAATGAGGTTGCAATCCCCCCGGGGTAGTTTCTCGCGATGAGCGGTTCTGAGGATTTTTGTGGGACTTTTTAGATGTTGCAGAAATGTTGATGTACATAGCACGATCGTAAAAATGTGTTTTGGAGTGCCTTTACTGCCAATACTATGTACTTGACCTCTCATTTCAAGACTCTAAAAACCGCCTGCTATCCTTCACCTATAGAGATCTAATGGTGCTGAAAGATCATTCACCCTACCGTTTTCTTAACGCGTCAAAGGCATCATAAGCCTACATGATCCTGCTGCAGGGTTTCCAGGGTGTCATTTCGTGGTGTCATTGGAGTAAAAAAGGATAACATCACTGAAACTACAACAATTATGATTCTGACTTCCGATAAAGATGCGCCGATATTAGCGAAATACACTCAGTAGCATACCTTGACGAAAGACTCACCTGGGACCCAGCTGAATTTCTCGTTTATGATATCTTTAGGCAACTGAATGTGCTGCATTAGTCCTCTGATTTCGTGCAATTTGGATTCAAGTAGAGCATAAGGTCGACAGAAACTCGGGAACTGCGCCTACTTGATGAACCCTAAGAAAAGGGAAACTTGTCGTGGGCTGTCGAAGAGTTTTCAACAACATTCAGTAGTGGGTTGTGCGCCGATATTCTTACTACTAGTCGACGTAATCGGTATCGGATAAGGGGCCGATTAACCCCTACTCATTTGAATACGCCTGTTAGGTTACATGACCTAATCTCGACTCATTTAGTCGTACGCGGTGGTGGAATAAGTAGGCAGCATGACAGCGCGACCATCGAGCATCACCTGAGGAGAACATGTGCACAGTCAGCCGGCGCTGCTACAACGGATTTGAACGGTTAATGGTACTTTCGTAAATCCACTAGAATCGTGTAATTTGCAAGGATAACTGATTAAACCGGTCAATTCTTGACAATAAACTCGAATGGATTTACATTTGTAAGTGACCGCGTCGGTGGGTTGCTTAGCCGTGACTGGTCACACGTGTACGGACGCGCTCAAGAGAATAAACGCTAAATTGATAGACGAGTTGTGACTGGTCCGCTCAGTTCTCATCATCAACTTGTCTTTTCAAGGCCGGCAGGATCTCTGTTGCAGAAGTGACGTGATGTGCAGAAAAGGAACGGGAGATTAGCACAATGGATCCGAAATTACAATGTTTTAAGGCGAAAAGGACAGACCAAGATTAGGCGAACTAGAGACGTTCAGAACGATTTAAGAGCAACGAATTTACGCTGACTAAAGCGGCCGTTTGTTTTGGCGGTTTCTTGGTACACAGTTCACAAATATTCCACTAGGAGCTCTGGTGTTTCAAGAAGAAGCAGGGCGAGTTGCGCCTAATATTGGACAGCGTCGTAGCACAACGGAAGAATGTGGACATCTTGTTTCACTACTTTGCGTACTGGTAACTTGTAAAAAGGGGTCAACAGCGTTTGGTAGCATTCACGAGACTGAGTGCAACTAAGCATGGAATCACTGATGGGTACGTCAATAAAATTAAGCACCAATGGACAACTCCAATCACTAGTTGAAAATTAAGATATGAGTAGATTCAGCAGCCCCGCATAGTGACCGCTATTCTTGGAGTAACAGACACTTGCATGTTTAAATCGTTATAGTTTCTCCAATCATGATTTTCTACGGCGCGCACGTTTTGATTTGAATGGAGCTGTCACCGCCTCACATATGACTTAATACAACATCGCTTAACCCAAGCTCCACGTCTAGTGGATGAGTGCGTTGGTTTCTGCACTCAAAAAGATGGCACACCACGTCCGATTGGCATTCAGTGGTATGGGAATCGATAACATACTAAGGTTACAGGCAAATTAATGTTGATGGCGACGTGAACGGTAAATTCTTTGGAGGCACAAGTCGGTAGATCGATATCACCATTGCACGCTGAAACGCTACATACGCAAGTGGCATCACGGACAACAGGAATGTCTGTTAGACCTTTCCATAAAGCAAAACGAGAAACTATTGTGGGGTGTGTAGTGGACATCGAAAAAAATAGTTGGACGGTTTGAATATCTTCCAGAAAGGACGATCAATGCCAGATGCACAATCTGCTCCTCTGTCATTGAAGTTTTACATTCATACAAAACATCAAAGTGTCACTGCTTGGCTTATGACTTTTTGGACCTCACCTAAGGCCATTCTAGTATCCTTATTCGATTTATAGCACCGGCTGCGTTCACTACACATGGACTGTTATCCTGCTTTTCCGACAATTGAATAAATCGTTGTTGATGCTGATGAAGTTATCAACCTTGGTAGCTTGCTCACGACAAACCTCTGTGGGCGTTCGTCCGGAAATCTGGGCTCGTATTTGGATGTGTACTTCATTTGACAATTTCACGGAAGGCTTTCACGCTAGACGTGCACTTTTAGACTAAGGTCCCCGAGGCACGTCAACTTGGGTCTATGAGGTCATTCAAACGATCAGACCACTCCAGGTTACTGAGCGGTTGATCGTCCTACCGCCTCTAGGTTCTTCAGATTAGACATACCATGGCAGAACATGACCCACACAATGTCAAGAAAAGCATAGCTATTTGTAGGCTGACCCATATTCATTGAAGTTCTGGCAGCAACATGCGCTGAGCTTAGAGACTAGTTAGCTCCGACGTTGAGCGCATCAACGGAACTTTGCTTTAACTGGCCATGGTGGCCCTCCAACAAGCAACATCCGTCGGGATCGCTTGTTTTATTAGGTGCTGGGAAAGCACTGTCTGGTGAACGGTATCAGCAAATCACAGTCGGGTGGCAATTTCGAGGTGATTTTTTCTAGACAGGCGAATAACAGAGTGACAGCATTAGTTCACCATAACTGTTCACAACTTGCCATTGAACACGTAAACGCTTTCATTCAGTTAAATGGCTCCTTTCTTTTCAAAATGTCAGATTTTTATTGTCTGACCCATGAACATCATCTTGATAAAATAACCCACGGGCTCGTTATAATGGTTGGACAAGCCTGACGGATGTGCCAAGCTCACCGAACCAGTCAAATGACTTTCTGTGAGAATACACGCTTTTTCGAATCAACACACAATGGGCACGAATTCGAACTAAACAAGCTCTTATTGTCCATGTAACATTGACTAAATCTACAACCAATAATGAAGCAATCGTATGGGTTTGTTCAGTTGATTCCACTCCAGTGGTTCCAATGCAAGGTATCGTGTTTTCACTTTGCTCTGACGAATCTCTGTAGTTTTCCTTGGACAATTTTAAATGGAATGCGGTAACTCCCAAATTACCTGTGAGATAGTAACTAAAATGTTTCGGATAGGGTTAACTGGGACATCTAGTGAGTTAATGCACGTGGGAGTTGCACTCCCACCATCGTGATATCGGTAAAAAGGTCTCCGTCAATAAATAGAAAATCGTTCAGCTGTAACACCCTTCCGGCGCCTTCCTGCCACCCGAAGGAAACACGAGGACTGGTATACTGTTCTCGTTGCCTAAGCCTAGACGGGAAGTCGCGAGGCAGAGGCCGGGTCTCCCTGATGTAATATTTGACCGTTTCACTGCTGTAAATTCAAATGAAAAGGTTATACGTAGCTGGCCGCCGTTCGTCCAGCCTGACAGACCCGGCTAGTCTGACCTAGTATTGTTGGATGATCAAAAGAATCCAGTCAATCGGAGCGTTTTTGGCTCTCACACTCGACGCAGTTTCAACATCACCGAGACCCCGACACGTAGCTCCCAGACTAAAAACAACCTGAACAGGAGATCGTGGTAAAACCGAGTTGGTTCAAGCAGTGATGGATTAGGTTAAAATCTACGTTCGAACAGACAATCAACTTTCATAATCATCTACGTATGTGGACAGCTCACCTGAAATTTTAGTGATATATATTTGGTGATCTGATAAAACTCTGTCGCACTGAACGATTTTTACTTTAAGCTGCGGTTGCTTAGACGGAGCGAGTCCACTGTGAAGTTCCTCATGTCAAGTGAAGAAGCGTTTTTCCCACCCAGATGGGGATGAGGGCACAACCGTATTTCTGCATTTAAGGTCGTAACGGTAAAATGCACGACCAAAGCGCAGCCCAACGCGTCGTCGAGCATGAAAACCGCTTCTGGTGGCATGGCAGCTAGGCACCGAAAGGGTATTCAGCTGAACGATTACCTTTATTATCTTTTATCTACGAAAACGTATGAACTGAAGTAGGATACCTAT